TCTGAACTTAAATGAGGGAGATTTTAAGGGGAAGGTCAGTTTGGGTCTGGTATATCAGTTCTTAGATGTATTTTAGACATCTGGAAGGAAATGTGAAGGAGACATTTGTATAAATGAGGCAGAGAGAAGTATGTACCATGAATATTATTTTTTGTGTGCTTTCTTAAAGAATATTAAACTGGGAAGCTGGGCACAATATTGCTCTTCTGCAGTTTCAGCCATTGGAGGCTAAGGCAAAGAGGTTTGAGAGTATGGACCCAGCCTGGGCTATATAGCAAGACATATTCTCATTTCAAAGAAAAAAATCATTAACTTTACTTTTTGTCTTTTTCTTGTCAGTCATGGAACTTGGCTGAAGGCCTGGGTGCTGCCCCTGAGCTTTTTTTGCTCAAGGCTAGACTCTACCACTTGATCCACTTTCAGTATTCTAGGGGTTAATTGGAAATAGGAGTCCCATGGGGCTTTTTTGCCCAGGATGGCTTCAAACTGCCATCCTTGGATCTCAGACTTCTAAGTAGCTAGGATTACAGGCATGAGCCGCCAGAGCCCTGCCTTTTTTTTTCCTCTTTTCTCATTAATATTACTTAAAATCTTGAGATTTAATGAGATTACCAGGAAAAAAAATTTAGGGAAATCTAGTACAGATCTAGCACAGTACTAGTATTACAGATCTATTATAATGATTAATTTCATTGTAAAGCTAACATTGTGAAGTAGTTGTGTGCTTTTAAAATACAGAAAAATTGACACCTATATTTTGGAATGTTATGAGCCCAGAACATGTTTAGAATACTTGGCTGTAACCAAGGTTTTCTAATGGTAATAGAAGATAGCACCCCTGCAAAGATGTAAATCTTCTGGTTCCCTGCCTTGCTTCTTAACAAATTACAGATTTTAGGACACATATTAAGTCATAAGTATATTTCTGGAATGATTACATAAACTATATATTTTTCTTAAAATCTCCTTTCCAGAATATTTTCTCCTTATTAACAATCCAGTTTCGTTTTAGGAAATTATCTCTTATTAACTGAGAGTAATCTCAAAGCCACAATTAATCCAGGTATCTTGTCTATTGAAACTTTTCCGATTAAAAAAAATTCTCTGAATTTCTCAGTATTTTTCTAGTAAGTTTCAATTTTTTCTCAAGCTAACTAAATTTAGTTATCAGTTAGAATCAGAAACCTAACTAATTTACTGTCATAGAAACTCCATTAGAGAATTTATTTCTTTAGCTATTGAGTTTATTTAAAATACTAAAAGTAGTATCTGTAGTGTAGAATTACTTATAGGATTATAACATCAATTTGGATTTGGTATAGTTCACAGTTATTAATATTTGTTCTTAGAGCCACAAAAAGAAAATAAATCTACTATTTTAATAGTAAAAAATCATTAACCAAAAGACTTAATATAAATTAAAAAATAAGCTGCCAAACATTATCCTCTTGAAGTTCCTTATTTGAGTAGATTGGTTTTAGTACCTTCTACGTTCATGAATGATTTTACATTTTAGCATGATATGAAGATACTGCACTCTAAATAGTTCTTGTTTTTATAAACCAAAAGGCTGCTATTGAAATAAATCAGTAAAAGGGAGAACTCATTTGCTTAGTTGTTGGTAAAATTTTACAGCTATGTTTTCCATTCTGTTTTTGCATATAGCAATTGTGGTTTTTCTAGTAACAACTGAAATTAGTATGTAAATCTGTTACTAAGTTTCAAGGACCTTTAGGGAATTGCAGGTTCTTTTAAGACTTGAAATATATATCTTCTTTTATGGGAGTTAAGTTGTTATATAAATTTACTGGGTGTGGAGCAAGTACTTTTTTTGGTGCTGATTTTTTATGTTAAAAACAGAGATATTTCCTTAAGAAACAATTTTCATAGGCAGAATACTTACAATATGTACCTCAGAAATGAAGAAAGATGCTCGGCACCTGTGGTTCATGTCCAGAATCTTAGCTACTCTGGAGGCTGAGATCTGAGAATTGGGGGTTCAAAGCCAGTGGGAGCAGGAAAGTCAATGAGCTTCTTAACTCAAGTTAACCATCAAAAAGCCAAAAGTGGAGCTGTGATTCAGGTGGTAGAGCACTACTGGCCTTGAGCATAAAATTCAGGGACAGGACCCAGGTCCTGCACTTAAACCCAGGATCAGCATATTTTTTTTTTAAAGATGGAATTGATATAATAATAACTTAAGGTTGTAAAGCTTTGCGTGGTGTTAAATATTAGGCACCTCATGTAAAGTTTCATTTTATCTTCACAAAATCCTATGCTCTAGTTGTAATCTCTGCAGTTACACTGAAGCTTAAGAAGTTGTTACTTTGTTCAAGGTTTCACAGCTAGTAAATAGGAAAGCTAGATGTGATTCCATAGCTCATGCTCCTAATCCTGTTCTCAAAAGCTCTTCATTCATTGATCTATGACTGATTGTTTGGTTCAGTCATTTAATAACTGCCTGTTCTGAGCCTGCTTAAATATAGCTCCCAAGTCTTTGATCTGAAAAACTGGGTGAATGGAAATGTTACTAAATGAGAAAGTAAACACTTATGAATATGAATGTTTTAGAGGAACAATCAGTGTATTTTGTTTTTTGTGTTGGTGCTTGGGATTAATCCCTCAAACATCTAAATTGCACTCTATTAATTTAGACGTTTTGAGAAATGGTGGGTCTAGAGACATAATTTTGGGAGGAATCAGTATAATTTTATTTTGAGATTATAGAAAAGCCCTTTTCCCTAAAAAAGAAATCTAAATATCAGCAGCTTGCCACTAATATTTACAATTTAGCATTTATGTCCTTTGGATTATTAAAGTGCATATAACCGCCGGGGAATCTTCAGTATATTAAAGTACATTGCACTTTTATGAAAAACCTACTGTAATGTGAATTTTTTATATCCATTTTGTTTATTGTAGATGATGTCTGTTATTTGAAGGAAATTTTTCTATTAATTGAGAAGTTACACAGAGATAATTATGCTGGCATATTTAATGAAGTGCTAGATTATGGAATGTTAGAAGACTTTTTTCAGTGACTTAATTTTATAGAAATTAGAGGTTTGGCTAGCATTAAATGTAAATATCATTATTAGATTTTTAATCAATGGGAAGGTCTATATATATGCAATACTCTATAGTTATTTGTATTTTAAATGAATCAGTTTTTTTGCATTTTACTAATTTTGGTTATATGATACTAAAAGCAACAAATTAAGACATCTAATTTTTCTTAAGCTTTTAATTTACACATAAATTTCATCATCTTTATTGTTAATTGAGTGTAAAATAAAAGCAACTTGTAGAATTTGGCAACAGAACATTCCTTCTAATCCTGTAATTGCTATAAGTTTCATAAGATTTATTAGTGGCAAAGGAAGATTTCTATTTCTATTTTGTGTGTGTTTGTGGGTATGTGTGTGTGTGCGTGCAGAAAATTACAAATTAATAATGTGGTGTAGCCGAAGCCTGCAATTCTAGCTCACTGGGAAGTAGATATCAGGAGATCATAATTTGAAGTTGACCTGGTCACAAAAGTTTACAAGACTCCATCTCAACAAATGACTGGGCTTAGTGGTACATACCTTTTTATCCCAGATACAAGGGAAGCACACTGATTGGGTGCAATGATGCTCCTGTGTCATCTCCAGCGCTTTAGTAAGCATAAGTAGGAGGAATACAGCCCAGAGTGGTCAGTGTGTAGAGTAGACCCTATCTCAGGCTGTGTTTCCCTTCCTGTCTCCTTTCCCGTCTCTTTTCCTTCCTTTTCTCCTTTCTCTTTTCCTCCCTCCTTTAACTGTGTTGAGAACTGAAGTGAAGGCTTCATACTTGGTAGGCAGGTGCTTTACCACTCTAGCCAGATCTCTGGCTCTGTTTAAGTTGTTTTCAAGTAGGAGCTTGCAGTTTTGCCTAGAGCTGCCTCAGACAATGATCCTCTTAATCTCCTGGAATCACAGGCATGCCCACCATGCCCATACCTAACAAGCAATCCCAGTTTATTGACTGAGATAAGGTCTCACTAACTTTTTTGTCAGGGCTGGTCATGAACTTCAGTTCTCCTGGTTGTTACTTCCAGAGTAGCTTGGATGATAGGCATGAGCCACTGTGTCTGACAAAGCTATGTTTTCAACTTTATGATCTTTGAAATTATTCTGCATTAATAATGGTTTTTTATAAAACTATAGCTTTTAAGATAATTTTAATTTTATTATGCATATCATTTATTTTGAGGATATTTAAGACTACCGAAGGAAGCCAGTTTGGTAATTAATGATGCTAAGAAAAATGTGTTCTTTATTTTCAGATTTTTAATAGTTTATAATTTGTAAATGCTTTCATTTCCACTGCAAAAATTAATAAAAAGGTAGGATAAATCAGGTACAGGTGGCTCATTCTGTAATCCTAGTTACTTAATAGTTTGAAGCCAGTCCAGGTAGGAAAGTCCATGAGACTCTTGTCTCCAGTGAACCTCCAGAAAGCCAAACACGGAGCTGTGGCTCAAGTGTTAGAGCACTTTGAGCACAAAAGCTCAGGGACAGTGCTTAGGATCTGAGTTCAAGCACCAGGATGTGCATGCATGTGCACACACACAAATTTATGATATTCCTTGGAATTATATTTTATATTCATTTTATAGAGATGAAGGCTTGATGATGGGATAGACAAACAGATTTGCTCCAGGTCACACTGCTAGTATGTCATGGAACTAGAATTTGAGTATATTGGCTTTTACTTTAATATTCAATAGCATACTAAAATAAATTAGAAACTACTATTTAAATAAAATTTTAGATTAAATTTATTTAAACATATTTCGATCTGATTTTTTTTCAATCTGGGCATTGTATTTGTTAGTTTCCTTGTAAATTTTATTTTGGACTCTTCAGTATACTACATTTGTTAACATGGTGAATATTGGATTATTAAATGTTCCACAGTCATATAGTCTTTGTATGTAAGGTTGTTAATCTGGTGTGTTGTTTCATTTTTTTAAATAGGTCCTGATTGCTCTTTGAATGTTCCTTCTACTGAATCTTACTGGATTTTGCCAAATGTTAAACCCTTCAGTCCTTCTGTAGGTCGGGCTTCACATAAAGCTGTTTTACATGGGAAATTCATGTGGGTAATTGGTGGATATACTTTTAACTACAGTTCTTTTCAAATGGTCTTGAAGTAAGTATTTTTGATCTTCACAATCTGTTTTTCTCACATTAGGCTTTCTTGCCCAAATATATAAATGGCTATTTTTTTTGTGATTGTACCTATTTGCTAAATGGGAGTTATTAAGGAATATGTGGTTTTAATTTGTCCATAGTTCAATTATTTGTTATTGTACATATGAATTTGTTCTGTACAGAAATTTTATTCTAGATTATTTTTAAAGAATTATAATTAAAAAATTTCATGTAAAGTTTGTCTGTGATTGTTAAACATAAAAAATCCTGTCACTTTATGGTTCAGAATGAATACAAAAACACCACTTTTTTCTGTAATTGATTTAACAAAATGTATACTTTATATACTCTAGAAGTTTTATTGGTGGAGGGATAGCAGTTCTAGCATTATAAACAGGTCATTTTACTTTGCTTGCAATGGAGGTTGTTCTCTTTCTGATTGAGTAGTAAGCACAACTAAAACGAATGAGTTTTAATGGATTTGTTTTAGATTGTGATGTAAATCAATAACAGTGAAAGAAGAAACAGAAAGAATTATTTGATTACTGATGTTGTTCTCCAGGATAATATTCATAATATGTAATGTAACTCATATATCGGCCCATCAGAGTTGCCCCTGAATAGTTAGGGCCATAATAGTGTGTTCCCAGTAGATTTGTTAGTTTTAGTAGGTCAATATTCAGGACAAGGGCCCCTTGTTGTGAATATTTTATTTTGTTCCAAATGTTGCATGGTTATTATTTCATATTAAATTCCAGTTAAATCTCTTAACTGGGCAACCCTACCCCAGAATATATTAGCCTGTTAATTTTCAAGACTTAAATGGATATTAGAATTCTGTAATATAATGTATGAGAAAGTAGTAGAACTGAAAGACTTAGTGTGATCAGAATGAATTGTTAAGATATGAAAAAACCCAAAACAGAGAAACCAAAAGGAAATTAACTATTACTAAAGAAAATGAAAATAGAGTTTTACCTTTGAGTTGAAGTTGCTATATTTCTGAGGTTGAGCTATGAATACAGAATTGTTAAGGAAACAGAAATCTTAGTTTTGTGTTCTATCCAAGTTGAATATATGTTTAAATTTAAAATAAATATTATGTGACATTCAAAACTTTTCTATTTGAACCAGGCAGCTTAGCTTTTTAAGTGAAAACTGGTTGTTTTAGTTAACAGTGTTTATGTTTAAATATAAACCATTTTTATATATGCATGGATGTATTTGAAGAATATGTTCATTAATGTATCTATACACACAGATATATTTGTAAATTTATATAGATATAAACTATGAGGAATGAAGTGAGAAATAAATTTGTGGCTATCTTCAGAGATCACTTTTTTTTTTTTAAACCACTGTGAATGTTCAATGTTTAAACATCTTTTAGAAATGATAATGTCAGTCAAAACTCAAGTTACTGGATGTAGAGGTCACATTTGAAGACAAAAATAATTCAAAAACAAGTTCTGTATTAATATCTATGAAGTTAGACTATTTTACAGAATACATACATATTGGCATCAGTCAAATTAGTGTGTATTCAGAGTATAGCAACTTGTTAGTATATGCATGATAAACATTTAATATATGCTTTTGGTACTTGGGATATGTCAATTGATATAACAAATGTCCTTGTGAAGTTAGTGAGGAAAGTCTGGCAATGAAAAATAAATATACTGACCAAAGTACATCATGCACATGTACATAGGTAGGTGGGCAGGTAGGTAAACAGATGATAGACTAGATAGATAGATATATAGGTAGATAGATAGATACAAACATAGATAAATATAAACAGATAGACAGACAGATAGATAGATAGATAGAGGTAGTAGTGGACAAGTCACTGTTTTGATAAGCCAGAAAGGAGGCCTTCACAATTATTAATATAGTGGTCAATTTAGGCTTCATTAAAAAGTTGAAAACTGAGCAGACTTAAAGGAGGTTAGCACACTCACTGGCATTGTCATTAACTCTAGATATAGAATAGAGCTAGACCAAACCTGTAAAGTAGGAGGGTTGTTTTTGTTTTTTAATTATTCAAGTAACAACAAGGAGGCGTATGTGATTTGCAAGTAATATATGTGAGGGAGGCATGAAATTTGAGAGATGATAGCTGAGAGAGAAATCACATAGATGTAGATCTTTTAGGAATCATGGGTGGGAATTATGGGAAGATTTAAACATGATTTAAATTATACTTTAAAACAGTCACTTGGCCACTTGGTTGACAATATAGGAATTGAGAAGAAGAATAAAAGCAAGTACAGTTAGTTAGGTGTTCTGGGCATTAGACCTGGTGATGGTGAAAAGGAACCTGTTAAGTACTATGGCTGTGCCTGGTATGCTGAAGCCCACGTCCTACACACATCGTTGAGCAAGCTCCTCATTAGAAATGCCTCAGGAGATTATCAAGAGATTTATTTTACAGAAAAGAATTATAGATAAGGAGATTTATTTAGGAAATATATGCTTCTTGGTTAATTGATCTAATTTTAATTGTTTGTGAAGGATAAGCACAAATGCTTTAGTGACTATTGTAAAAATGGGAAGAGTTTTTACTAATTCAAAAAAATTTGGGGTCTCGGCTGTAGCTCAGTGGCAAAGTGCTTCCTTAGATGCAATGCTCCGGGTTTGATACCTGGTACTATTAAAAAAAAAAAAGAACCAAAACAACCCTTCTTTTTGCTGGGTACCGGTGGCTCATGCCTGTAATCCTAGCTACTCAGGAGGCAGAGATCTGAGGATCGTGGTTTGAAGCCAACCAGGCAGAAAAGTCCCTGTGAGACTCTTATCTCCTCTCAAAAACCAGAAGTGGTGCTGTGGCTCAAAGCATTAGAGCACTAGCCTTGAGCAAAAAACTCAGGGACAACACCTAGGCCCTGAGTTCAAGCCCCACTACCAACAACAACAAAAATAAATAAATAAAAATTGGCTTTTAATTTTTAATTTAATTAATGCTGGTACTGGACTTAAATTCAGGGACTCATACTCTTGCTTGTGTGTGTGTGTGTGTGTGTGTGTGTGTGTGTTTCCCTCACAACTACCACTTGAGTTATAGCTCTGCTTTTAGCTTTTTGCTGGTTAACTGAAGAGTCTTATGGACTTGTCTGTTGGAACTGGCTTTGAAAATCAGTCCTCAGCTTTTTCAGATCCAAAACAAACTCTTAAGGACACACACCAAATGCTGTAGTCTTTTCTGATTATTGTCAAAACAAGTGATTTAAAAACCAAAAAAAGAAAACTGCCTCTTCCTTTCTGTACTCTCAGATTGTCAGGCTTCTTAACATCTAGAGGGCAGAAGTAGCCGCACGCCAGGTGGTGGCTGGCTGTTGTAGGGTATGAGGATTTTTATAATACAAGGCGATTTCAAACTTCCATCGGTCAAAAATAGGAGGTGGAAAGCTGCCTGTTTTTTCAAGGGCATGCCTTGAAGATGCACAGAGAAGGGCGATGGATACACTGTGGGATGATGGGAAAGCTGTAGTGTCCTTCTGTGAGCACAATGAGTTAGGTGTTCTGGGCATTAGACCTGGTGATGGTGAAAAGGAACCTGTTAAGTACTGTGGCTGTGCCTGGTATGCTGAAGCCCACGTCCTACACACATCGTTGAGCAAGCTCCTCATTAGAAATGCCTCAGCTGCCTGAAACCTATGTTCCTTCTAGCAGTTGTCCAAATAGAAGTGTATCCGTTAAGACATATCAGATCATAAAGTCATTGTCATTAAAGTCTCCTTGACTACTGAGTATCGATGACTTGACCCATTACACTTATAGGAGATCATCTTTTCCACAGTGCCTCAGACCTTATTGCTTTAAGAGAATTATGATAATGTTTTATTAGTTTTATTGTTTAAAAGATTTAATAAAGTGACTGAATGTGTTATAGACTTTCTGGGGATATGTGTGTGAAGTTTTTAAAAACTTTAATATTTGTGAATGGAATGCCTTATAATAGGAATGTTAATATGTGTAAAGGGAGATTAAAAGTTTGATTGATTATCTCTTCAAAAAAAAAAGAAAATCAGTCCTCAGATATTATATCTTAAATAGCTATGATTGCATGCTTGAACTACTAGTGTTTTTGAATGAAAACAGACGATCTCACTATTCTTCAAGTTAGTTAGGTCATTGAAATTATAAAAGGCAATTTGGCAAATTAATTTTATTAATAAATGTCCTATTCAAGTTCATCAGTTATACATCTTAAGAAGCTGAATTCTAATTTAGAGAGGTATTTCTCACCTAAGCATTAAAATTTTCTATTATAACACATGGAATTATGAGTTTATTAGTTTTTATTCTTTTTAAATTTAATGAGGATTTTGATGCAAGGGAAGAAAGTATATTTGCAAATTTTAAAAAAATGAACACGTATCAGGTTATGAAGTTCTTTTTTTTCTCTCTCTCTTTTTTAGTTACAATTTAGAAAGCAGTATATGGAATGTAGGAGCTTTATCAAGGGGACCTCTACAGAGATATGGACACTCTCTTGCTTTATATCAGGTATTTCTCCTGCTTACAATTTTTTTTTTTTTGCCAGTCTTGGGGCTTGAACTCAGGGCCTGGGCACTGTCCCTGAGCTTCTTTTGCTCAAGGCTAGCGTTCTACTACTTGAGCTTTGAGCCACAGCACCACTTCCAGCTTTTTCTGTTTATGTGGTACTGAGGAATTGAACCTAGGGGTTCATGCATGCTAGCACTCTACCACTAAGCCACATTCCCAGCCTGCTTATAAATTTTTCATCAGTTTTTTTTTTTTTTTTTTTGGTAGGTCGTGGAGCATGAACTCTGGGCCTGGGTGCTGTCCCTGAGCTCTTCAGCTCAAGGCAAGTACTCTGCCTCTTAAGCCACAATGCCACTTCTGGTTTTCTGGTGATTAATTGGAAAGTCTCATGGACTTTCCTGCCCTGGCTGGCTTTGAACCAAGATCCTCAGATCTCAGCCTCCTGAGGATTACAGACGTGAATTACCAGTGCCCAGTTAATCAGTTTTTTTTTTAAGAGTTTACTCTATAGGGAAAATATTGTCCAATTTACTTCAAACACAAATGAAAACAAGCAATTATATGAGCTATCATAACTGGAATTATCATAGACATATATTTTAGCTAGGAACAGATTTCAGTATGTTTGCAAATGTGTAGAAACATTGTATTTGTGTGTATTGATCTTGTTTCCTGTAGTATAGATGAGTTAAGTTATTAGCTCTTTATTGCTGGATGTGTTCTAGCTAGAACATCTAGTACAATGTCGAATAGAAGCAGCAAAAGTGGGCATCCTTACCTTTTTCTTGACTTCAAGGGAAGGCATCTGGTATTTCACCAGTATGTATAATTATTACCTAATTACCCTTAATCAGTTTGAAGAAATTCCTTCTATTCTTAGTTTGAAAAATAGTGATGATTTATATTATTTCTATTTTACTTTGTTTCAGTCATATGTGATTGAAGTTATTTGCATAATTTTTAAGTGGAATAAAGATTTACCAAGGGTGAACTGGAGGTATATAAAAATTTCCAGCCAAAAGTGGCGCTGTGGCTCAAGTGGTAGAGCACTAACTAGCCTTGAGCTGAAGAGCTGAGGGACAGCGCCCAGGCCCAGAGTTCAGGCCCCACGATCAGACCCCCCAAAAAAAAATAAAAAAAAAATTCCCTAGCCATGAGAAACGCTGATAAAAATATACTCCACGTGATATGTAAATGTAGTATAACTTCGTGGTGAATAATGATGAAAACATTGAGTAATTTATACTATTGCAAAACAATTCATATAGATGGCTTAAATTCAAATGTAACAACTAGAGAGATCATTAAAATATTGGAAAAGCTGTATAAAAGTGTTATTTATCATCAAGTTCATTACTCTTCTGCTGTGTAGTGGAGAGTTATGATTACATATTTAGTTATAGAATTACTATCTATAAAATTAACTTTTTGGGGCTGGGAAGGTGGCTCAGTGGTAGAGCGCTTGCCTTGTATGCATGAAGCCCTGGGTTCAATTCCTCAGCACCACATAAGAAAGAAAAAAGCCAGAAGTGGTGCTGTGGCTCAAGCGGTAGAGCGCTAGCCTTGAGCTGAAGAGCTGAGGGACGGCGCCCAGGCCCAGAGTTCAGGCCCCCCGACCAGACCCCTCCCCCCCCCCAAAAAAGACCTTGTCTCAAAATTTAACTTTTTGATCATATCACTGCATTTTTCACAGTCATTTGTATTTTCTAATCTTATTGCACTGATATGGAACTTATCCAATAGGATAACTATAATTAAAATGTCTTAATTAGCTATACCATATAACCATTTAAAATAAAGTATATTAAATAACTTTTTTAGAATTAAGGGTATGTTTCCTTTTTTTTGTAAAAACATTAGTTGTCATGGATGCATTCCATTTGATGCTTGACTTTTTACAAATAAGAACTATGCCTTTTGAGTATTGTGGAATGTTACTAACGTGCACTGTTTAATATATTTATTTGTGATTAATGAAATATTGTAAAGATCACTGTTTTGTTTATTATTGTATATTTTAATTTGCAGGAAAACATCTTTATGTATGGAGGCAGAATTGAAACAAATGATGGCAACGTTACTGATGAATTATGGGTTTTTAACATACATAGTCAGTCTTGGAGCACAAAAACTCCTACTGTTCTTGGACATGGTCAGCAGTATGCTGTGGAGGGACATTCAGCACATATTATGGAGCTGGACAGTAGAGATGTTGTAATGATAATCATATTTGGATATTCTTCAATTTATGGTTATACAAGCAGCATACAGGAATACCATATCTGTGAGTTTCTTTAAAAATGTAATTACCTTATTGGTTGAGAAATAGTTATTTTTTAGTAAAATCTTCATGTGAACTATATCAAAGTGGTGAGTTGAGATTGGAATTGTAAGGCAGGAATTAATTATTTGTAATACAAACTTTTGATTATGTTAGATTTTATCTTTTATTATTTAAGTTTATATGCTAACCCAGTGAGGAGAATGTTATATACTGTTTTTATTTTCCAAGATTTGCAAATATATGAGAAATTTCAATAGATGGTGCTATGGATCAGATCAAATGTTGAAAATTAATCTCTTAATTATGTTTTCTACAATTTCAAACACTTTTTATTCTTATTATGTTATCTTTATGCATATATTATTCCTTTAATGTAAACCTCCCAAAGGTAGCCTGGTAAGTTCTAAGAGATAATACTAGTATGTGAAAGTGACTGGGAAAAACTATATATTATTTTCTGTGTTTACTCAGTTTTGTTTTTATGGTACTTCATTTTTTACATTCCTATGACAGCCTTTTTTTGGTTGCAGTGGCAATCTTTTTGCTGGTTTTAAGTTGTGTATAAATATACCCCCTTCTCCTTGGTTGATCGGTGGAAAACATACACCTAGCCAGTATGAACTTCAGTATAGACAACTATGTAGAGTCATTGTGCAGTTTTGGTGAGGAAACTTATGTATCATCACTGGCAACAGCAAAAGATTTTATGTTTGCAGGGAAGAACTGCCCTTCTGTATATTCCCTCCAGTTGTTTCAAATAATGGGTATTTTGTTTCCCTGTCCTCTATGTGTCAGAGTTAGGAATGGGATATATAATACCTTTAATATTTTATTGCCACTTCCAATCTATTTTCAGTTCTTCTTCCTTTAAATCACTTAGCTTTAATCTTAGGTTTTTGGGCCCCAACTTATTACCCCACCTTCTTGAACTCATTGTTTCCCCCATAGGTCACTATGTTTATTTCTTGGAAAATACAGCTTTTGGCTTACTGTTATTCTGTCCAGTATATATAGTCAGATTTTTGGGGGGGTTAAATATGTAAATAAATAAATACTTCTTCAAATGCTTGGATTCTTCATTTCTTGATTTTCCTATCAAAGATCCTGTTTTTTTTTTTTTTTTTTTTTAATCTAGCTTACTCTTCCATTGCCGTGCTTTTGGCATTGTCATTTTAATACCTGCAGAGTTCCATAATTTCTGTTCTACCTTTTTGCACTGAATTCTCCAATTTACTCCTTCAAATGTATCTACATCCTAACAGTTACAGTTATTCACCTTAATACGGTCTTTTGTCTATTGAGTCTCTTTTCACTTCTCCCACTATCTCTCTCTTGCCCATTCTTTGAATCTTTCCCAATGTTCTGTTCATAATCACCAATCTCAGGTCTGGAAATCTTCATTGTGGCGGAAACTTGATAGGTATTGTTGTCCATGTTCTGTCTCGTTTTCTGTTATCACTTTCAGGGAATGACCTTGCTTACCATTTTTTGAGAAAATAGAAGCCATCCGAATATACTTACACTTATGGGAACCTTTTGGGGTAGGGATATAATGATTAATTCAATGCAGCATTGAATAAGCTTGCTTGCATAAATTATTATTCTAACTTATGATAACCTTGAAGTAAACATAGTTGAGTTATTCTTATTTTTTCAGATAGGCCCAGGAGCTGATTCATTAAGAGTTTCAAGTTTTCTATGTAGAAGCTTTATTTTGGTTTTAGATTTTGTTGTAAACTTTGTTTAATTATAGTGTTCAAGAAATGTTATAGGTATTATTTTTACTTCCTTGTAACTTTCTGAAATTTTCTTTATTGTTCACTCTTCTTCATATTCAATAATTCTTGAAAAGAAAGTATATAAAGTATATATATTTATATTGTATATGATAAAATATATTTTATATAAGATGTACTTTACCTTATATATTTTATACATATATATTATAAATATATTTTATATTATACATAAGTTTGTATTATGCATTTATATTATATTATACATTTATATTATATGAAACATGCTAGTGTATAATATATAATATTTATATGTAGAATGTAATATATAATATATGAATATATTTTATAACAGATTGCTATTTTAGATTAAGAAGTTAGTATATTAATATGTTATATTAGTATACAACACTATTTTTATAATATATGTTAATATATATTATATTTATAATATATATACTACATATGTACAATAATCCACTTTATTGATTAAGCTTTCTGATTTTTGTTTTGTATTTTGATCTATTTTTTTTGAAAGTTGAATTCATTAAAAAATTTACACTATTTCTATTTCTTCTTGTATGCAACTTATGTTTTATGAAAGTTGCAATTATGTACATCAGCAACTATTATCTGTTTTTTTTTTTTTGTATATGAAAATATCATCTGTTCTTTTTTTTTTTTTTAAATTTTATTTTATTTTATTTGAGAACATACTGTACAGAGGGGTTACAATTACATGGTCAGGATAATGCATACATTTCTTACCAAGCATTGCAGCCTCCTCCTTTGTTTACCCTTCACCTCCCTTCCCAGCCTCCCCCCCATTATCTGTTTTTAACAAAGTTACTTGCTTGCTAATTTTTTTTTCTGAATTCCAGCTCATCTAATGTTTACATTGTGTCCTCTCTTTTTGTTAGTCTTTTCCTACTATAGCTTTGCCTGTCCTTTTTATTATTATTGTTTCTATTTAGCATTTGAAAACCATTGTATTGTAAATTCATTTTTTGTAGTGTGATTTTCATTTATTTTGTACATTTTTATACATGTCTATTTTTGAAAGTCACTATTGTCCTTTGTGTTATTAGTTAGAACTCTTGTGTTTCATCCTACCCCAGTTTTTTTTTTTTTATGGACTGATTGTAGTAATATTTGAGATCTGCCACCATTATCTTCTTCCATTTCCTTTGTTTCTCATCTTCAGTTTTACACCTAGCTGTCTCTATATGGCTCTCTTGGTTTCATTATTTTCTCTTTCTTCTCTCTCTCGCTCTCTCTCTTTCTGCCTCTTTCTTTCTTTCTGCCTCTTTCTTTCTTTCTGCCTCTTTCTTTCTTTCTTTCTTTCTTTCTTTCTTTCTTTCTTTCTTTCTTTCTTTCTTTCTTTCTTTCTTTCTTTCTTTCTTTCTTTCTTTCTTTCTTTCTTTCTTTCTTTCTTTCTTTCTTTCTTTCTTTCTTCTTTCCCTCCCTCCCTCCCTTCCTTCCTTCCTTTCTTTCTTTTTGTGTTTGTCTTGGGGCTTGAACTCAGGGCCTGGTCACTATAACTGAACTTTTTTTTCACTTAAGGCTGGAGCTACAGCTCCACTTCTGTTTTTTTGTTTGTTAATTGGAGATAAGAATCTCATAGACTTCCCTGCCCAAGCTGGCTGAAATAGGCTATCCTCAGATCTCTGCCTTCTAGCTAGGATTACAGGCAGCAGCCTGTAATCCTAATGTTTTTTAACATTCAAACACAATCTGTAGTTTGTGAGATTTTTTTTTAAATTGTCGGTTGTGGGGCTTGAACTCTGGGCCTGCGTGCTGTCCCCCTAGCTCTTCAGCTCAAGGCTAGCATTCTACCCCATGAGCCACAATGCCATTTCTGGTTTCCTGCCCTGGCTGGCTTTGAACCATGATCCTCATATTTCAGCCTCCTGAGTAGCTAGGATTACAGGCATGAGCCACGGGCACCTGGCGAGAATTTTTTTTTAAACTCTCTTAGTTTTGTTTTTGTTTTTCCCTTCCTTTACTAAGTCACTATACTCTGTCACATTTTCCTTTTGCGTTATATGTTTCCCCTTAGGAGAATGGGAAGATTCAGAAATAAACTATGATCATGTTGCTGCAGTACCAGAAACATTTGTTTGTCCTCTTTTGCTAAACTTAGAATTAGAACTTTTAGAGAATCTGTAAGTCTCAGAGGGGGAATTATGTGGAGGGTTTTACTGACTTGTACCATAAAACTCTTCTTGGTTAGTCCTGAGGGAAATTTATTTCACTTTAGATTGGCAATAGCTCATAAACTCTCCAAGAATCTCAATGTGAGTCTCAAGGTGAATATAAGGTTTTGCTTTAGTATTTTTCATGCTTTTAGAATATGAGAAGTGTATTTGTGAATCCAGTACTAAAGCAGATTTGAAGACCATTAGATTTGCCAGGTGCTAATGGTTCATACTGTAATCCTCACTACTCAGGAGGCTAACATCTGAGGAAAGAGGTTTGAGGCCAGCACAGGCAAACAAGTCTGCAGACTCTATCTCCAATTAAAATGTTTTGTGCTAGCCTGGAGGTATGGGTCAAGTGGTAGTGTGCCAGTTGTGAGCACAAAGCCAAGTGAGAGTATGAGTTTAAGCTCCGGTACTAAACACACACACACACACACACACACACACACACACACACACACACACACACACACACACACACACACAAAATTTTATTACCAAGGCAATGTTTTCTTTGTTAAATGTGACTGTATGTGACTTTGAGCTATTTTTTTTAATGGTACTGGGATTTGAACTTAGGGCTTTATACCTGCTTCTTTGGTAACTGTGCTATTGTTATGTTTTTGGATAGGATCTCGTGTTTTTGCCCAGATTATTTGTTGAGATTGGGGGGGTCTCACTGACTTTTTTGCCTAGGCTGATCTAAAACCATGGTTTCAGTCTCTGTTACCTGATTATGATTTTAATGTCACATATTAAAAACAAAGTCTGGAGTGAACTTTAAGTATAAATTGAACATTGACTTTTAACAAAATGATATCTGAAAATACAGATCTCTAAGCCACATGTGTTAGAGATGGGAATGAGGAATTTGTAATGGGGATTTCTAATTTAAAAATAATTCCAGTAAGTCAGTACCCATTGCTCATGGTGTAATTGTACCTATTAAGAATGAAATGCCATGGTTTAGGTGTCTTTGAATTATATACCCCTTACCAAATTACTGCAGCTCATTGAATTTTAAGTATTTTTTTTTTGTTGTTGTTGTTGTTAGTGGTACTGGGATTTGAACTAAGAGTCTTGTGCTTGCTTACCAGACACTTTACTGCTTGAGCCACATCCCCAGTCCTTTTTGCTTTCATTATCTTTTGATTAGGGTTTTGCTTCTTGCAACTTCTTAATTCCATTTTCCATGTAACTTTGAGCTTTCATGTAGGCTTGAACTTTCATACCCAGATTTTTATAGGTGGAGATAGGATCATACATATCTTTGCTTGAGTTGACCGTGAACCATGATCCTCTCAATTTCAGTCAAAATGTCTTTTTTAAAAACATTTTTATTTATTTTTTATTGTGAAAATAAGTCAAAATGTCTTGATTAACTACTGTCACAGGCTTCAGCTACCACACTTGCCAAATAGTTTTGCATTTTAACATTCGTAGTAAAGCTATATTATTTATGTGCCATTATTGAATTATTTTCAGTCTGTGTACTCAGTTTTATATTTCTGTATATTTTTGTCTCATATCTTTGATATCAAATGATTGGATTTGGCTTTTTTATATATGGTATGCCATATTGTTTAGTTGGTGTGTTTAGGACATCTGTAATTAAAGAAATTATCAATATGCTTGGTCTAACTATGCAGTTTTGATTTTGCTCTCTAGTTCTCTCATTTTTTTTTTACTATCTGCTTTTGATTGGAGATTTTACATAATTAATTTTTGTTATCATTTTCCTTGCATTAATTATTGATGCTTAAATTTAAGTGTATTATTTTATTAAGGTTTGTCTGTGTTCCATGTTTTCCCTTTTTTTCACGTTATATGAACTTTTAATTTTTTAGCATCCATTTTAATTTTATGTGATTTTGACTATTACTTCTGTAATTTTTAAAAGTTATATACTCTTTGGAGTTCAAATAAATGTCTGTTTTTTGGGTCCTGTCTTGAGGCTTGAATTCTGGACCTGGAAGCTGTGCCTGAGTTTTTATGCTCAAAGCTTGCACTGTAACACTTGAGCCTCAGCTCCATTCCTGGCTTTTTGGTACTTAATTGGATATCAGAGTGTTTTTTTTTTTTTTGCTGGGCTTGCTTTGAACTGTAATCCTCAGATCTCATCCTCCTGAGTAACTAGGATTACAGGCACCAGCACCTGGCTTATCTGCATATTCTTGAAGTATGCCTTGCATATCAGTGAATCTTTAGCAGCATCAAAGTGTCTTCTAGCTAAAGCAAGTAGATTAATTACAAGGTTGCTAGAAGGGTTAGAGACACCAAATGGGAAGAATCGCCTGGAAATCTTGAAGCTGTTATATAATCAGGGATTTAGGATTACATTGGTTCCCCAACACTTACGGTGCCACTTTCTACCACCACAGTCATTTTGTATGCTAGTTACCTTACTTTTCCTGCTGCTATAAACAAAAGCAGAATAACATTTCTTTTTCTTGTTTTGTAATTTCTTGCTACTGATGGAGTAATGAAGTTGTAAAGCAAATAATAAAAATTCAGTTTTTAGGACCAGCACAGAACTAAACGTGTTCAGTTGATTTTAGTCTGTCAAGGGCAGTGATCTTATCATTTTTATTTTATAATTTTAGTATTTAACTTAAACTGTCACACAAAAGGTTCTCAAAAAGTATTTATTAAATATTTGTTATTTTATGTAGCGCTATTTTTGGACATAGTATATAGGATTAAAGTCTCTTTTTTTCTTGCATACACAAAAATATTTTCAGTATTTCAGAATTTAATTTTATTTGTGCAAGAACCAGTGCTACTCTGTTTCAGTCTTGGCACCTAATATAGCACGAGGCATATTTTTAATACATGAATGCTAGGTATTCTGTATTTGCTCATAAAGTGTGTCATTAGAACTAACTTGTTGGTAGTTTGATGATAACATTACTCATCATTTTAAATCCAACTTAATTTTCATGGCTTACTTTCTTTCTTTTATAGCATCCAACACTTGGCTTGTTCCAGAAACTAAAGGAGCTATTGTACAAGGTGGATATGGCCATACAAGTGTGTATGATGAAATAACGAAGTCCATTTATGTTCATGGAGGCTATAAAGCATTACCAGGCAATAAATATGGATTGGTAGATGATCTTTATAAGTATGAAGTTAACACTAAGACTTGGTGAGTAGATGGTGTATAAGTATGATGAAAAATCTGACAATAGTTGCATTTTATATTTGTATAGTAGTGGTATTTAGTAAATACTTTCACAGTAAAAATTTTTAGACTTAAAAAGTCTGTATTGCAACTATAGTGCATGCTTCCATTTAACAACAGTACAAAATAATGTGTAGCTATCATCTCTACAAATGGATTCATTTTAGAATAGTTTATAATGCCATAAAATATGTATACATTTTTATAGTAAATAATGATGTCATTCATTTTAGTGAGTAAATTTGCTTACTAGTACAGTTCTAAGTTTGATATCATCTGCCCCCATATTTCTTCTTTGTTATACTTTTATTAATATTTATGTTAATAAAAAAGTTTTTTGTTGATTAACTTCTCATGAAATACATAACTTGTGTCATTAAAGTCTGTTTTCCCTTTTTGTTGCTATAAAAACTACTACACTACATACCTTTTACTAGTCATCACATGTGCATGGAAAGGTTTTTCTATGATATATATTTAAAAGTGCAGTTGTTATGTCTGAGTGTATTAGTGCTTTCAAATTTATTGTGTAGGAAATGAACAAAACTTTATTTACAGCAAGGTATGAGCGTTCATATTTCTTTGTATTCTCTTTAATACTTGCTTGATAACTGTCAGGATTTTTGCTCTTGCCTGTGATGGGTTGACTAGGGTATCTTACTAATATTTCAGTGTGCTTTCCCAAAGGATTATGAATTGTGTATTATATATCTGTTGTCATTTACAAATTTTATTTGCATTATCTTTAAATATTTGTTCAAATGGGTTTCAGCTCAGCATGTCAATTTCTGAATACAATGCACTGTAGTTTCCTACTTATATCCATATCATTCTTTTTATGATTATATATTACTAATTTTTCACTTACTGAACTTATAGATATTGAAGTGTCAATGCAGAATTTTTCTTATACTCATTCCTTTGTAAAATATGAGAAATGACTTTTATTTTAGACAGTATAAACTCTTTTGGACTTCTAGCATGAAGTTCCTGTAGATATTTTGAGGAAAAACTTTTCCACTAAACTGTGATTTGTTCTAACTCTTTCACTTTCATATATATACTTTAACTCTCTATTTTTTTTGCAAAAAAGATAAAATTATAAAACTTTTTCTTTTGGGATATGCATGATATTATTTCAAAAGTGCCAAAAAGTACCAAGCATCAGACTGAAGAATTTCTATAAACACTAAAGAGGATAAGTATAACAAAACCACTCAGACTTAGACTTGTTATTGTAAAATTTATATTTTTAAAATTGAAGCTAAATTTACTTTTTAGCTGTGCATACAATTTCAAAAATTCTACATGCTTATATACTTTGATATATTTTACATTGAGCAACATTTATGTCAGCTTAGATAAATATCTTCTCAAAGTTTTACCATTTCTTCAAGTAAAAACACTCAAGATCTGGATACCAGTGGCTCATGCATGTAATTCTAGCTACTCAGGAGTTTGAGATCTGAGGATTGTGGTTGGAAGCCAGCCAGGCAGTAAAGTCTGTGAGGCTCTTTATTCTAATTAACCTCTAAAAAACCAGAAGTGGAATTGGGTGCCTGTGGCTCATGCCTGTAATCCTAGCTACTCAGGAGGCTGAGATCTGAGGATCGCAGTTCAAAGCCAGCCCTGTCAAGAAAGTCCCTGAGACTCTTACCTCCAATAAACTACTAGAAAACCGGAAGTGGCGCTGTGGCTCAAATGGTAGAGCGCTCACCTTGAGCTGAAGAGCATAGGGACAGCGCCCAAGCCGAGTTCAAACCACACGACCATCAAAAACAAAACAAAACAAAACCAAAAACAAACCAGAAGTGGAAATGTGGCCGAGAGTGGTAAAGCACTAGCCTTGAGTGAAAAAGTTCAGGGACAATATTCAGGTCCTAAGTAAAAGTCCCATGAACCAGAATAAACAAAACAAAAATAGCAAAGCATTCAAAGTAATAAAACTTACAAAAACATGAAAAATGAAAACATTCTTGTCTTGGGGACAATACTAAGCCTGACAAGTAAACAAACAAACAAAAAAAGTAATTCAGAAAGCATGATGCAAATGGTTCAAAGCAAACATCAGCCTAATTCTATACTAATGACTTAAAAAAAAAACCTTAAAAAAAGTAAACAAGACAAAGATGTTTTCAAATAAAGATAGAATTTGACAACAACAGTCCTTCAAAAAATAAAATGAATTGAAATAGAATAAAAATGATTCCAGAAAGAAGAGAAATCTGAATGATTATCATATAAAATATAATTGCAAGAGACTTGAATCTATAATTTAAACATGAAAATAATGGCACATTATTTAGGAAGAGAGGTAAATGAGTGTTTAGTAAATATGTGAGAGTTGTATCATGTGATAATTAATAAAATCCGCTGATTAGCTAATGGCAAAGGGTTTGTTTTGTAATCATTAAGTAAAAATGAAAATAATAGTAAAACACCTGCTGTCTAATAAGCACCTGTTATCTAATAGCTGAGAAAATGAGAATAATAAATGATAATTTGTGAATCTGCACAAAGGCAAAAATAACATAGTAAAGGATCAAAACAGATATATCAATGGGAAAATAATAAGATGGTGTATTTAACTTCAAACAGATTATTAATTATTCTGAATTAAAGAAAATTAGTATTCTAATTTTCCTAATTTTTAAGAAAATACTTTCAGTTAAAAGCATATTTTAGCCATCTGTTGCTTAGAAAGATAGACCTTGAATAAAGATATTCAGAAAAATTGAAAGTAAATTACTAAATCACTAAAGCAAATGACTAAACCAAAGTATAGCATATATATGTATATATATCTAGTGTATCTATCTATCTATCTATCTCTGTAGGTAATATAGATATTTTATAATATCAGGAAAATGACAATTTAAGTCAAGCATCAACCTCAAAGTTAGAATAGTTCTGCGTTTGCATAAATACTATAATGAAGCATTATTTGATAAAATTGACAGAATAATAGGACCGCTACTTATCCACTTAAATTGCTAAAACTTAAGATTGCTAATACTCAGCATGTATAAAGTGGTAGAAATACTCTTAAAAAACTTTAGACTGAACTTGCTCAATGTGAATACATATATAGGTAACTAATGCATATATTCTATAATTTTATGTTTACGTATATATCCAGCAAACATGTGTCTATTACAGTTATATGGTCAGTCCATTAATAGCAATGCTCTTTGTTATAGTCACCAGCTAGACACAAATGAAATGTCCAACAACAGTTCAAATGGATAAATTAATTGTATATTCGTATGCTAGAAAGTTGTTCAGCAATAACAATGAAATAATTTTCTGTATGAACCTACACAGTTGTATTATTTCAATATAATATTAAGCAACATAAACTGGACACAAAAGAATACACAGTATAAGATTTTATTTATAACCCCAGTGTTTGGCACCAAGAACTATTAGCCTTTATCCTTAGAAATCATGTTAAGTGTTGTCTGAAAAGCATCAGGCAGTAACTGAGAGGTAAGAAGGAAATTTTCTTAAGTGATTACACATGTGTGTTCACTGTGTGTAATCCATTGAATTACACACAAGATTTTTGTACATTTTGGTATATATGTCATTCTTCATGATTTATCTAACATAGAAATCTATGTTGATTTCAGTTCTCAGATTAAAATTGTATGCTACTAGATTATAATACTCTGGCATCCCAATAGAGTGTTAACTTTTAATGTTCATCAATTAAAATATATATTTCTTTTTGGAAAAGGATTGAGACATAAAAATTCAGGATTTACTCAAAGATATTGCTATTCTCTCATGACTTGAGAAGTAGTTAGGTCTGGTTTCTTTTTAATTGAAGACTAAAAAAGAAGCAGAATTTCTTTTCTTTTCTTTTCTTTTTTGCCAGATCTAGGACTTGAAATCAGCTTTTTTTTTTTTTTTTTTTTGCTCCAAGTTGTTACTTTTCTACTTCAGCCACAGTTCCACTTCAGACTTTTTGCTGGCTAATTAGAAACAAGAGTCTGGGATTTTTCTTCCCAGTCTAGCTTTGATTTGTGTTCCTCAGATCTCAGCCTCTTGAGTAGTTAGGAGTTCAGGTATAAGCCATAGTGCCTTGCCTAGAAATAGCATTCTTGGTTTATAAGAGCTCCCGTTTCTGAAAAATGATTCCTCTTATATTGTTAGTGTGTTTATTTCATTGATCTTACCCTTTACTTTGAAACTTAAACATTACTGTTTAAGGGCTTTGTAAAATGAGACATTTTTCAACATTTTCAGAATGTTTTGCACAAGTTTATAGAACTTACAACAAGAGGCCTACATACACCTTCACTGTTCTTTCTTTTTTATTTCTACAGTAATAGAAACCTCAACTTTTCTTGGTCTTTTATTGATAAAGCACAAGTTTCATGTGTGTACAATATATTACATTATCATTTAAATCTTGCAGTAGAAATTTCAACTTATTTTTCTTTTTGGTAGTACCGAGGTTTGAACTCAGGGACCTTATACTTGCTGGTAAGCCACTCTTCCACTTGAGCCATACACTAGTCCTTTTTTGCTTTATTTATTTTTCAATTATGGTCTGACATTTTTGCTTATGTAGCTTAGACTTTGATACACATATTTATACTTTCTTTGTAGCTGGGATGACAAAGATACAATGTCACATTCAGCTTTTTATTGGTTGAGTTGGAGTCTTGACAACCTTTGTTTTTTGGTCGGTCGGTCATGGGGCTTGAACTCTGGGCCTGGGCACTGTCCCTTAGCTCCTCAGCTCAAGGCTAGTGCTCTACCAATTGAGCCACAGTGACACTTCAGTTTTTTCTGTTTATGTGGTGCTGAGGTGGATTCCAGGGCCTCATGCATGTGAGGCAAGCACTCTACCACCGAGCCACCTTCCCAGCCCTTGACAACTTTTTTGCCTGGCTGGCCTTGAAATGTGGTGTTTCTGATCTTCACCTACTGAGTAGTTAGGCATGATCAACATTGCTTGGCTTCAGTGCTTTTTAGCCTTTTTTTTTTTTTTTTTTTGGTGAGTTGTAGGCCTTGAACTCTGGGCCTGGGCACTCAGCTCTTCATCTCAAGGCGAGCGCTCTACCACTTGAGCTACAGCGCCACTTCCGGTTTTCTGGTGGTTTATTGGAGATAAGAGTTTCACGGACTTTCCAGCCCTGGCTGTCTTTGAACCGCGATCCTCAGATCTCATCCTCCTGAGTAGGATTATAGGTATGAGCCACTGGTGCCCAGCTTAGCCTTTTCTTTAATGTGAGAAAAAGGTTTTCAACTATGTTTTTAAAGATATTAAAAAGTAAAGGAAGTGGTACTGTGGCTCAAGCAGTAGAGCACTCGCCTTGAACCGAAGAGCTGAGGGACAGCGCCCAAGCCCAGAGTTCAAGCCCCACGGCCGACAAAAAAAAAAAAAGTAAAAAGTAAAGTAACAAGTGTAAAGAGAACACATCTATGATACTATATTCTGCACTTTTAAGAAGTCTTCAAGTCACATATTGTTTATTTTGTATTTGTATATAATTATTTCTTTTTGAAAGTGTCACCTCTTCCTTCATTTTCTCCCAGTTTTTCCCTCCTGAACCTCTCCTCACCTCCCCCAATATTGTATAGTTCATCATTTTCAACATAGTGTTTTAGAAGTAACATATTCTTTAAAAAATATTTTTATGACATGAAACCTAGTTGTATGAAATGATTTTTCCTAGTTTTAATATAGTAGCAATTATTTTTAGTACAAGTTAATTTAATTTAATATAGAAGTTATTAGAATTCTTGTGATTTCTCTAAGAAATTTTATGATCAGAGGTTCTGGAAAATGATATAGGACAATTTTTAAAATATTCATTAAATCACAAATACTGATGACATGCTGTTCATCTTTTTATATTTCTTTGACTATTGAATGTCTGACATATTTTCACTAATTTTATTGATTCTTTCAAGCTCTGTGTGAGAATAATTCTAATATGTTTCCAGCAATGGAGATACATAATTTAAAGTGTGAAATTTTAATGGTACATATTAATGAGGAAAATAATAGAAATATATACATATATTTGTACCTATATACAGTAAAATAGTGCAGTATTTATTAAAAAATAAATACAAAATTTTATATAGGGAAGAAGGACTTTTGTTTTTGTAAGTATCATATGTTCTGAGTTTTGGGTTTTTTAAATACTTAGTTCAAATCACATTTTGATAGAATAAAGAAATAGTTATAATTTTACTTTTTTTTTGTCGGTGGTAGGGCTTGAACTCTGGTCCTGGGCACTGTTCCTGAGCACTTTAGCTCAAGGCTAGCACTCTACCACTTGAGCCACAGCGTCACTTCTGGTTTTCTGGTGGTTAATTGGAGATAAGAGTTTCACGGACATTCCTGCCCAGGCTGGCTTTGAACAGCAATGATCCTCAGATCTCAGCCCCCTGAGTAGCTAGGATTATAGGTGTGAGCCACTGGTGCCCAGCTAATTTTACTTTTTAATAGTTATTTTAAACAGTTCCTTTCCTAAGTTGAGGAATATTGCATGTGGACAAAGAATACATGAAAACATGCATATGTATTTTCAGAGTCTTTGTAAAATGTGCATCTGTTCAGCTGAACTAAGAGATAAGATATTATAATACCCCAGAAGTCCTCATATATTTCTTCTGGATGGTATTACACTGCATGAGCCCCAAAGAGATATAGCCATCATTTAATATTGTCTTAGTTACTTCTTAAACCTTACAGGTTTTTTTTTAACCCTTCTTATATGTATTTGCAAGCCTACTAGTATGTCTCAGTTTGTACTGTATACATATTGTTTAAACCTTATATTCTTCCTTTTGAGAAATTAAAAAAATCAACTTTTGAATTTTATTTAAAGAGTGGTCAGAGAAGATCTCACTTCAGACAGCTGATTAAAACCTGGGTGGGGGTGAGCCTTGTAAATATCTGAGGAACAAATGTTCTAGGAATAGGGACAGCAGCTTTGTCCCTAGTGTAATATCCGTATGACAGGAATGCTTTTGTCATTTGGAACAATGCAAGCATGGATATCATTGTAGGAGAATGTGCTGGAGAATGGTGGGGAAAGTAGTAGGAAATATTATGAGGGGTACCATGTAGGGTATCAGAGGTCATTGTCATATTTTTACTTTCACATGGGTTCACTAAGGGTTCAGAATATAAGTGTGGCATGCTCTGACTTAGGTGTGGTTAGGAGTATTTTGGTTGATGTATTTTAATTATAACACAAAAGTAGAGATAGGAAAACCATATTATTCTAAGGAAGAATTGGTAGCATCTGGGATCAGTGATGTACTGTGAAGGTGATGAGACTTGGTTGGCTTTTGAATGTATTTCCAAAGTGGAACTAATAAGGATTGGCTAAATGATGAGGTTGACGTGAGAGAGAGAAAGGAGTGATACATGAATCGACTTTTGGTCGCAGGACCTAAAAACATTGGATTGGCATTAATTGGTAGAACTTTGTCCAAGAAGTTTGCTTGGTGAAGGGGAAAATTTAGAAACTCAACTGTAGATACTTTTAACATTCTTATTATCTTCTTAGTGGATATGTTTCAGTATCTAGACCCTAATTTTCTGCTCACAGAGAAGAGAAACAACCAGAAAGGGATGTTGAAAATGAACAGTTAGTGAGTTAATAAGAAAATCAAGAGACTAAGAACACATTTTAAAAGAGAGAATTTGTTAGAAGCTGTAGACAGGCAAAGTAATACAGATTGAGAATTCCCCAAACCCAAGTGCTAAATTTGAAATACCTTTAAAACTTTTGGAGTGTCAACACATCAGTACAAGTGAAAAATTAAAAAAAACTGTATAATGTTGGCTTTAGGTTATTGTAAGCTATATATGAAACAATAAATTTTATGTCTGTATTTTGGCCTCATATCTAAGATATCCCATTATATATTTGCAAATATCCCCAGATCTCAAAACCCTGAAATTTATAACACTTTGGCACAACTATTTGAGTAAGAAAGACAACCTGTATGAAATTGAGAAATGATCAGGAGATTTGGAAAACTGATTTTCTTTTTGATCTCAAAAAGGGAAATTTCAGAGTGGAGGTAGTAAAAGATTCTAGTTCTCCTGGGTTAACTGAAGATGGGAGAAGAGCATAGCTTTTCTGAGTAGGTGAATTATAAGGGAAGGATATAAATAATGGAATAGATGGTAAGGGGATTGTATGAGAGGATTTGTTGGTTTTTGTTTTGCTGGTATAGATCCCTAAATTCAGGATCTTGCACTTACTGGGTTTTCTTGCTCATGGGTGGCACCGTTCCACCAGAGCCACACTTTCAGCCCAAGAGAGTTTATAAATGTTTAAGGAAATAGTTGTTTGTAGCCTGACAGGAGTGATCAAGAAGATGTGAAAAGTTTTAGAATTTGCTAGAGATATGATTAAGAACTCAAGTAGCAGTGCGTTCTAGGGAACAAATAGGAACTCTTACCTTGCAGCTTCATGGCAATTTTATTCATATGAATAGGAAAGAAGGCAGGCTACAGGAATACAAATGAAGGTATATTTGTAGAGGTATGAGAACTTGTGAATATTTTGGTTCTTTTGATTTTCATAGTGAAATAGAAAGTGAAATGTTAGTTGAGTGGGAGATATGGGAAGGTTGGCAGAAATACAACATGATCACTTAAAAGAGAGGAAGAGTGAATGGGTTAGGAAAATGTGGTAGAATTATTGTTTTCCCTCTACTAGGAAAACTCCGAAGTTTCAGATTAACATTTTAGATCCATTTTGAATTGATTATGTACAAGATGAGAAGTAGGTTTTTAGTTTGAATCTCATGCATAGGGACATCCAATATTCCTAGCATCACTTGTGAAAGTGGCTGTCTTCTATAATGCATGTTTTTTGGTATTTTTGTCAAGAATCCTATTGCTAGAGCTTTATGAGCTCATGTATGTACTATTCCATTGTTTTATGTTTCTGTTTTTGTGCCAGTACCATGTTGTTTTGTTGAGTTCTTCAAGTTTTCTGATATCTTCAATATTGCTCTAATTGTTCAGGATTGTTTTGACTAGGCTTTTTTTGTAATTCCATATGAATTTTTGGATTCCTTTTTCTATTTTTGTGACTCTGTAGTTTGATTTGACTAATATGACTAAATATTCATTTTGCTGATCTATGAATATGGCATGTTTTATGTTCTTCCAATGTCTTCAATTTCATTCAGTTTTCTATAGCTTTCATTGTAGAGGTCTTTCATCCTCTAAGATAACTTTATTTCTAGGGTTTTTTTGGAGATTATTTGTAAGGGGATATATGGAAATTCACATATTTTAAACATGCATATTTAACCATTTATATAATGTATATATAGTCAGAGAGGTCTTTTTTCCTTTATAACACATTTTTCCTTACAAATAGTGTCTTTATGGACTTTCAGAATTAAATACAGTATTTCATGTTGTACTTTTGTGTTATTAGACTAAAACACTCATAAGTCTCACCCTTTGTCATACACAATTCAGTGGTCTTTAGTAGGTAGATTTAACCACCATCTATGGAGAAGCTAAAGCCTTTAGCAGAAACTACCAATTACCCCTTCTTTCTAGTCATTGCCAGCCACTAAGCTACTTTTTTTCTCTATATAGTCTATTTTAAACATTTCATCAATAAATTCATATGAAATGTAGTTTTTTGTTTCTGATCTTAAGAACTTAGTACTATGTTTTGAAAGTTCATCTGCAATGAAGCATGCTGTAATATATTTTAAAATTTTATTCTGTAGGACTATTTTGAAAGAAAGTGGGTTTGCCAGATACCTTCATTCAGCTGTTCTTATCAATGGAGCTATGCTTATTTTTGGAGGAAATACCCATAATGATACTTCCTTGAGTAACGGTGCAAAATGTTTTTCTGCCGATTTCCTGGCATATGACATAGGTATGTATCTGTTAGGATTATACAAAGTAGGAAATATTAAATTTCAGTGTAGGCAATCTTAAATAAATAAATTGATAAAATGTGTATATGTCACCTTAGAGATAAATTCAAGTGATAGATTATGAATGGCATTTTCTTTAATTTCAACAGTAATAGTATATAAGCAAGAGAACAAAAGTACTGGAGTGAGTTACTGGTAGAGATCGAGGAACTGGGAAGTCATAAATTTTAATATCCTTTTAAAGACTTTTGAATATTGTATCAACATGTCAGCAATATACCAGTTTATTGTGTTTGTTATTATGTTTGTTTTGTTACTGGATAGATATGAAGGCTGTTAAATTATGTAAATTACAAACAGGAATACAAACATAAGTTTAGAAGGACTGAACCAAACTCCACTTACATAAATTATAGTAATATTTACTACATAAGAGAATCTGATAAACCTAGAGAAAGGAATTTGAAGAAAAAAGTAAAATTGAGATAAAATGGAAAAGCATTTGTACTTAGGAATGGTAGTAACTGAATAAGATTTTGCCAGAGAACCAGAAATACAGTACATGCTATCTATAGTCTTACTGGCTTCTGAATGTTTTAGTGAATACAGTCATTGAAACACTGAAAATAGCTTTCCAATAGATCAGTGAAAATAGTGCTTTTATGTTGTTGATAACGTGTAGTTGAAATTTATAATATACTTAGTGGTACCTAAGATGATAATTTATTGGTGGTGCAAGCAAGTAATGTACCAAAATCAAAAGTAAAAGGAAGCATGTTGATAAATAAAAATAAAAGAGGTCACAGAATTACACACTTAACAGATATAGGAAATATCCTTTTGATCTTAATGGTCATAAATGTACCTAATCTACTTTGGTAAATTATTTTAAGTGGGAGCATGTAAAGAAAATTATGACAATTAAAAAACACTTTGGTCTTTATGCAAGTTTCAATTTGACAATAAATTCTCATTAATAAAGTTAAATATACTAAATTATGAGTTTCAATCTGTGACAAATCACTGACCTTTCATAATTTAAATCTTTACCTTTTTGAAATCGTAATTTGAAGTGATAAATTATGATGAATGTAGAACTGTCTAGCTTTTTTTGGCAGTGGTTCTTTTTTTGAAATATAATTTTATTATTACTATTTAAGTGTTGTATAGAGGAGTTACAATTTCATAATTCAGGTAAGAGTACATTAATTTTTTTGGACAATGTCACCCCTTTCTTCACTTTTCCCGTTTCTCCCTTCCATCTCTGCCCATAAGTTGTGTAGCTTTTAAAAACTCATTCATCAGTGTTGAGGCCTGGAAAAATAGTTTGAATGAAGCACTGAGTAAAAACTGTAGCCTTATTAGGTTCTGTTACTGTCAAGACAACAGCCTGTCACTGTAATGTTTTAGCAGTGATGATGAGACAGTGAGCTGATTTTTGTAGTGGTGGATGTAAATTTTATGTTTTCCTGTTCAACTATTTTTCTCCCATGAAACATTTTTCTTAAAGAAAATGATAGAAATGTTATTGTTGTTATTAAAAATCCACAGACTGATTTTGAAATTTTGTAATAGCTTTTTCAGAATTTCCATACAATATTTGTACTATGATAAAGAATTTATGAGAGGCTGGGAAGGTGGCTCAGTGGAAGAGCGCTTGCCTTGCATGCATGAGGCCCTGGGTTCGATTCCTCAGCACCACATAAGCAAAAAAGAAAAAAGCCAGAAGTGGAGCTGTGGCTCAAGTGGTAGAGCGCTAGCCTTGAGCTTAAGAGCTGAGGGACAGTGTCCAGGCCCAGAGTTCAGGCCCCACGACCGGACCCCCCCCCAAAAAAAAAAAAATTTATGAATGAGCTGTTTGGTAGTTGATGCTGGTAATTATTTATGTTTTTCCATATTATTGAAAATTATAGTTCAGATTTTCATGTGGCTGAAAAAATTACTAAGATAAAGTAGATGTTATATTTCAGAAAGGAAGAAAAAAAGATGAACAGAGATTAGATTATTAAATAGTGTAATTGCCACAAATTTTCTAACTGATAGGTACTATGTAAAGGGATTTATATACAAAATGTGTAACTACTCCAAAGGTCATGTAACAAAGTGTTCTATCCTTATTTTTAAAAGATTAAACAGAAAAGAGAAATAAAAACATATCCAAAATCATGTAGCTGAAAGGGTAGATCTAGCTTATACTATTCCTAAAAGTTAGAATGTTTCAAATTCCTTATTAAATTCTTAATATGATAAACCTTAAACTTAGTAGTATTTATTTTTTACCTTTATGGATAGAGGCAAATAACAGTTTTGCTCTTTTGCAATAAATTATTTTAAGACTGAAGGAAGAATAATATGTTTCAAATAGCTTTAGATTTTAAATTTCTTTTCTGTGAAAATATGAACAACAAACTCATAAAGACAGCCATATAATTCAACATAGTCTAAAATTGTTTTTTCTCATTTGATTGTAGGAGTTCCCAGTAAAGTTCTTCCATAGGATCATTATCCTTCTGTTTTGGTACATTAAATGTTTCAATATTTTCTAAAAATATTTTTCATATAGAAGAAAGTGTTTTTCAAAGTAATCATTGCCGTTAGGTAGTTTGTGAAAATAAATATAGGCATTGTATAATGAACCAACTTTGAAACAGATGTGATTTTTTTGGAGAAAATGTTATGTTGCTATTTTTTTCAGTATGGTATGCAAAGACTTTTTTTTTACCTTTTTGGTGTATTTAATTGGAAAATACTTGAACACTTAGCCAATTTGTGCTATATATATGATTTATGAGCAAATTGGAATATATGCGATAATGCTAAATTTTCCTGTTGTACAATGTACAGTTTTTACCCCTACTGTTATAGTAATTTTCATAAAATGAATATCCAGAATATTTAGGAAGATAATTTGGCCTTCACAGTTCCCACTATATTATACATGATTGATATAGATGGTATATACTGGTGGTTTTCAGTCATGTCTCTATCTTGGTATCTTCTATGAAGGTAGTTGGGGAAAAATAATCTAACAGGACTACATAATCAGATACTTTGTGATTATTCATTGAAATGTAGTTGATAGCAGAGCAAGAGTTCGTGAATAACTATGGATCTCCTGTATCATATAGTATGATGCATTATACATGCTAATTGTAAATCTAGATTGAAGTCAGCTTTTAGAATCTGAAAACTATTAACATTATTATTATTATCATCTGTGGTATTATTACTTTCAGAAAACCACCATGATATCTTTCTTGAGATTAAGAAGATTGTTCTGGAAAACATTGTTTTCTATTCAGAATTCAGGTGAAATTCTGAAACAAGATGAAAACAACCCGTTCACCACATTTTTCTTCATAAAGATAATAGGAAATAATATGAATACGAAAATGTAATTTCCTGAATTATTTTATCTCAGAAGTGGGGAGAGAATAGGATTTATATGAGATACTTTGTATCTTGTACAAAGTAGAAGAGTTGAACTTTCAAATTAGGTTTAATTAATGATATAATTTAAAAACTAACTTCCTTGAACATGATAGTTTTATTTATGAAATTAATTTGTTGATAGATGATTATTTAAAAACAAAATCAATAAAAACCAAAACGTTATTTCATATTTGAAGAGGTAATATAATTTTAATTGGTATTGTATTGTAGTGTTTATACTTAATAGTTTGTAATTAGTATAATTGTAGCTCAGTGTACCTATAAAACATTACATATAACTATTTATGAAGCATAGAATATATGAGTTTTTTTCAATTCTATGGAGAGTTATGTGTGTATGCATGTAGAATGGATTAAGTTTTGTAAGGCATACAAAGTCATGACAAACTCATGTAAGAGTGAAATCACCTAATTGATTTTTTGAATGATTCTACAAAATGCTGAAAATTCCAACTTTTTCTCTTCATAATTGTTTTCATTTTCTGGATGTGATTTTATTAGTTTCTGCATCTGTTAGTCAATATTTCTCAATGTCTTTTGTGAAATTATCAGCACTTTTCTGTGAATAAAGTGTTCCAGTTGCCTGGCTACTAGAAAAAGCTAGTGTGTTTCTTTGTAGGTCAAGAAAACCCCTAAAATCATCCACACATCTTTTCTAATTTATTGCGTATTTGTTGATTGTCTTAGGCAGTATTGTGACTTTTGCTCAAGCTACCCCCCATACCCCAACATTTGTCCGTGGTAGTTAATGGAAGAAATAGCATCTCTTTGCTCCTCACCCACCAAATTTTCACTCCGTCTCCCCCATGTTCCATTTCTCTTCTTGGTTTGTTCCTCCTCCTCCTCCTCCTCTCCCTCCTCCTCTTCCTTTTTCCTCTCTCCCTTCCTTTCCCCCCCCTCCTCTCTCCCCTCTTTCTCTTCCCCCTCTGTTCCCTGCTCCTCTTCTCCCCCTCCTTCTCTCCGCCCTCCTCCTTTTTATGTTCATATTTTATTTTTTAAAAAATATTTCGTCGCGTGTTGGTGGCTCATGCTTGTAATCTTAGGTACTCAGGAGGCTGGATTGAAGCTAGCTTGAGCAGGAAAGTGTGTGAGACTCTTATCTCCAGTTAAGCCAGAAGTGGAGCTGGCTCAAGTGGTAGAGCACTAGCCTTGAGCAAAAAACCCTGCAGGAATAGCACACATGTCCTGAGTTCAATTTCCAGGACTGTCATAAAAAGTTATTTTGTTTTTGAATTAACATACAATTGTAGAGAGGGTTTTATTGTAATATTTCCATATGTTTATATAATGCATGTTGAAAAATTTACCTCCTTTACTGTGTTCCTATTCAATATCCTATTATACTTTGGGAATTTGTTGATTTTTTTTCTTCTGATCTAACAGGAAAAATTTTGAATAGTCTTTGGGCCAGAAGAGGGCATTTATTAGCATAATAAGATACTCAAAATTATTTTATTAGTAGATTTAATATTTTGAGGTATATTTGAATTTCCAGCAAATTGCTAAGAAAATAGTGACTGCAAGACATAAATCAAGGAGAAAGGAA